TCAAATTAGTGAGTTGCAATTCCAAATGCTACTGTATGCCTTAACTTAGTGTCGTTTAGCACTGCTATATAATAAAAAACCATGAATTATTAACTACCTATACTTAAATCAGATCCGGGGATATGTTCATGGATACGAATATTCTAAAAGAAAATCTAGAGTAATCTAACTGATGATCATTACCAAATAAGGTGTGATCATCGGTAACCAAATTTGGTATATTCCCTGACTGTAAATGTCACCTCCTTTATGTCGTGAATAATAATATTATTTAGAAATTATTTTTTTTTCGATATTATCTTCGGTTTTTTCATCCTTTCTCTCTATTTCTTTACGCATCTGTACAATGACATTTTCCTCCAGTGTTCCCAAAAACCCATCTTGATCTTTGTCAGTAAACAGTATTACGTCATAATATTCTGGTCTCATTTTTGGAAGACCTGTTTCCTAATACTCTGTGAGTCTTTGACGGATGTTAATCCCGTACTAGTACCAACAATTGTTCGTTCCATGTCATACTCCTCTTCATCCACTTCATTATTAAGGTTACATTTAATTCTTTGTGATGATTTAGGGTTTGGATCAGTTGTTAAGAAATCATAGCCCGTTGTTATCTGTTTTTTTTGTACTTTATGTCCGCTAACAGATACATCAGCTTGGGTGAACATCATGTAAATCGTGGAATTTGCAGACCTTGCAGTGTTAGCCAAGAATTTAAGCTATATTTGATTTTAAAATATTTATAAGCTACACATCTTAATAAAAACTACTTGTTAGGATAGTGGATAGTGCAAGATACTTACTCTGTTCTCAAGGATACCCGACCTAATCAAATGGGCTGCGACTTGGTTCTCATAAGTTTTTAGCAATTCTGCACACTTCTTTTTGTCCACTTGATATTTTCAATTAGCTTCAATGCCATAGTCTTCTGCTCGTCATCAAACTCCAAGGACTTAGAAATATTTTGTAGTTCTTCTTTGTAGAAATAAAGGCAGTCACTTTTTACGAAACCTGGTCCAGAACGCATTTCAATGAAAGAGCTAAGTTTCCACTGTTCGAAAGGAGTAGTGCGAAAATATGGATCAACAAATTCTTTAATGGTGAAACTTTTGGTGGAAGTTTAATGTAAAAGGCGTGTTCAATTAATATACCGCGACACGAAATCTTTAATATCACGTGGTTGAAATCTATCGGTGGCTTAGACTTTTAAACCCCATGCCAATGTGTAATCTACCTAAAAAAATTTTTTTTTCCCTCAGCGCTTATGTATCGCAATAGTCATGTAAAAGATAAGTATATTATTTCGAATTCGAACACTCTTGCGAGTATTGGCAGTTCGTCCTAAGCCTGCATCTTGCGATGACAGGTTAGGTTTTACAACGGACAACTGTTACATTTACACCTTGTCCTAAGCCCGGTGTCTTGCGACGACGGCTAGTCCGGTTTCTTGCGACGACGGTTAGGTCTTGCGACGGACAGGTGCAATATTCCAGAACTATTTAATCTAATACTTTTTTTACAATAGTATATCAGATATGGACTTGCATACGAATAAATAAAGAGTATGAAAACTTTTTGGATATAAAAGAGTATTGAGGTATGGGAATTGTTTCTGTTGAGCCTTTTTTGCCTTAGCAGAGAATTATTGTTCTTTAATTGCTGATAACGCATTTTATCAATAGTAAATCTTTTCCTTGAGCAAGTACTTTATTTATCTATTCGTTGCTTAATAAAATATTATTAATCATGTTTTTTTTATAAACGTGTATATAAATGTGTAAAAAAATAAAATAAAATATCATCACATGATTTTGATCGAGAACATTTTAAATAAGTGGAATTACTGATTTGTATTTAAAGTTTTAACTCTATTCAATGAGACCCAATTCTCGTAGATGCTCTGGAATAACATTATATGGGTCTTCGTAATACCAAACGTACCTTAAAACAATCCAATTCTCTTCGCATAATTCTTTCTTGAGTTGATCCCACTCTTGCTATTTAATGAAATTATTGGGATCGCCTCCATGAAAGAATTTAATATATCTTTCGTGTTGTTCTCCTTGTACTTCAGTTGCAAATCCATATTGCAGGTAATAAATGTCAAGTTCTAATCCAGTTGGGTGATCTAAAGTTTTAAGAAAATTAGGTCGACGTATCTTAGATGGCGGTCCAAGATATTTTGACATAATCTCTCGACACAATCTTTCACGTTTATATTTAGAGCAATATGGACACCATGTATTATCATTTTTTACGTGAGAAAGGGTGGCATTCCATTGATGGTTTTTATTGCATCTCCAGAGTAATTGACTTTTGCTATTAATATAGGAATCTGACAAACATTCTCCACCTTGGCTATATGCAATAGATTTGGCCATTGAGATATCAAACTTTGTGCTAGCACAATGCGGACACCAATAGTTTTTGTTTTTAATACCACTGATAGAAGCGAACCATTCATGTGATTTGGAACATCTCCAGCGTAAATGCGTTGTATAATTGATATAAACATCAGATAAACACTCTCCATTCCTGCTACATGCTAATTCTTTTGCATATTCGATGCCAAGTTTCTCAGATTTACCTACACAATGTGGGCACCAAGTCCTTCTTTGAATACTATCAATCCGAGCAAACCATGAATGTCCTTCAGAACATCTCCAAGAGAGTGGTGTACGTCTGTTATGATAAGAACTAGAAAGACATGTCCCACTTTTTTTATTTGCTAAATTCTGAGCGAATTCAAGGCCAAGTTTCATACATTCACGACACCAATTTCTCTGATTTTTGACATTTGAAAGAGGAAGGTTAAATTGATGTCCATTTTCACACTTCCATAAAAGAGGCGAACTATTATTAACATATTTTTCAGAAATACATTTTCCATTTCTAGTATACGCAATTTGCTTAGCAATTTCAAGAGTAAGTGGTTTTCTATGTGCACAGTTTGGACACCACTTGTTACGTTTTATACTAGCAAGACTCGCGTACTATTCATGTCTTTTATTACAACGCCATAATAAAGCTGATTTACTATTAATATATTTTTCTGAGAGACATTCACCATTTTTGTTACATGCTAATTCTTTAGCAATCGAAATATTAAGTCTAGTATCTGAACAAGTAGGGCACCATGTTTTACCATTTTTTATACTATTAAATGTAGCAAACCATTCATGTCCTTTTATGCATTTCCAATACATTGGGGTTATGTTATTAATGTATTCTTTGGAAAGACATTTTCCAGCACGAGATTCAGCTACCTTTATTGCATTACTTAAAGATAATTTTTTAGACATTTTGGTTAACAAAAAATATTTCTTGAATAAGTATCCTACTTTTCAAATAATATGGAATATTACAAACTACGCAAATTAGATGAAACTATACCTTCAAAAAAACAGAATCTATTTGCACCTAGGCACCCATTTAGATTATTGGTCGCAGGCACCTCCGAGTCTGGAAAGACGAGCATGGTAGTACATTTGCTTCTAGAAAGTAAATATCCAAAAATATATCCGTGGATGTCTGGTGAAAAGCGTGGTCATAAAATACCAAAAGGCGGAAGCAAAAATTTTGGTGAAAGGTATATTCCATGTGATGACCTAATTGTTGTTGCGCAACATCAAGATGAAGAGTTATGGGAAGCAGTACAATGTTTTTATGAATTTATTGCCATGGATAAGCAAGCTCCATGGTATGAAAATGTGAGATTCAAGCTAATCGCGCCTGAAGAACTACCTGATATTTCATCTTTCAAAAGAGCTAGCCGATTTACTGTTATAATATTTGATGATCTTGCCGGTGAGCCTCTAGCAACTCAGCTAAAAATTATACCTTTCTTTAGGTCGGGTAGACATGAAGGAATTAGTGCAATTTATATCGCTCAGCGTTTTTATGAAACCCATCCAAACATACGTGCAAATCTTAAATATATTTCATTGCATCGTGGATGTGAAACATTAGATAGTATAAAACGAATTCTTAAAGATATGTATGATGATTATGAGCCTCTAGCAAAAAAAGTTTATGAAGTGATAAAAAAATATTTCATGGTCATTGATATCCGAAGATCACCTGATGACCCCTTATTAATTAGATTTAGATGGGACAAACCTTTAAAGGATTGGCAAAATAATTGAATTCGGGATGATTCGTGCTTTGTGGCCTCATCCATATCCATAAGGAAAAGTTTCATAGATAGTAATTCTTTCTTTCGGTTCTTTTGTATAACAGATTGGGAATCCATAACTATGATTTCTATAGAGTGGATAAAAAATTTCTTCCTTTTTGGTTTGATGAAAAATATTCCCGTATATATACCAAATAATTAATATCACTATTATTGCAATAATGACAATTTTAATAATAGGAGGAATCTGATACTTATCATTAACTAAAGCCTCACCAGCGCATACTGCCCCTTCTATTGTAATATCTTGAATTAATGACTCCGGATTCTGCTTATTTATGATAATTGGAAATGTTT